CTGTATAGGATGGTATAAGTTATAAATTGTTCGGTGAACAAGAGACAGAAAATAATTATTGAGTGTTTTATTATTCATCAATATCGAATACTCCATGGTGAATTGCATGTCAATCGTATTACAGTGTAGTCTGAACAGAGCCATTAAGGGCATTATAAGATTAAACAGCATCGTGGAGGATGGTGTTTGCTGAAAACTTCTCCTTACGTGTTTCGAATTCTATTTTGATGTCGACAGTAGATGACTTCATAGCATCGGGTTGGTGGGAGCAATCGATGATGAATAGTGGATTTTTCCGAAAGATAGTCGAATATTATTAATATTCGCTTCTATGAATTTCGCCACATAATAATAACCAATAACCAAAATGAGCTCTTGCTTAACATTCAATATTTATCTGTTGTAATCTTCACAAAATCCATGAGATACTCCAAGGGTAATTTACCGCTAAAAACATTGCTGACGGAATCCAATATATTTTGTTTATTCATATCAAGCCCTCATCCTATCGGTAGTAGCGTGTAGTAGCATGTGTAGCATGTGTAGCATGTGTAGCATGTGTAGCATGTGTAGTAGCGGTAGTAGCATGTGTTTGTCCAAATAATATCATCGTTTTCATTGTGGTAGTTGTGAGTTGGCTTTATAGAATTTTCACTTCAAGGCCATTACAATTGATTAGAAACGGTAAGAACATCGTCTATATGTAAAATGGCTGGAATTCTCCGAACACCACAACTCATGGATGAATGAAAGTTCATTAGTATAATAGCATCATTATTGTACTTGGAATATTTTCATATTCGCTGAATGAATAGATTCGAAATACCAAAAATGATACAAGTAATATTGTAGCAATTGATTGATCAGTCATATAATGTTATTGAATAAACTCTCTCGATACGGTATCCGAGGTGTCACCCATGAATGGATAAAAAGTTTTTTGAGTAAACGTTATAATCGTGTCACTATTGGTAACCATATGTCATCGTGCAATGATTATTCTGAAGTAGGTGTTCCTCAGGGTCCGGTCCTAGGACCTACTTCATTCATACTTTATATCAACGATATTGTGAATATATGTGATAGCTCAATTATTGTTCACGCTGATGATACATCAGTTATTGTATCGGATAGGGATAAATATTGTATACGTCAGAAATGTAAAAAAAAATCCTTTGATATGGCTCAGTGGATCAGAACCAACTCACTTCATCTAAATACAAATAAAACAAAATGTATACGCTTTCACTATAGACAAAAAGAAGCTATGTAGTTGATTTCGGAGACTTACAGTCATTTGATAAGACGAACATCTTTCCTGAGGAGAACACTTTAAAATCTCAATCAATAAATTCAATTCTGTTTCCTATCAATTACGTAATATGAGATCAGTTCTGTCTAATGATCAGTTGCTGATGCTCCACTATGCCCAAGTAGACTCCAGACTTCGATATGCTGCCATCTTCCTCTGGGGAAGGTCTTCGAGAGCTAATAATGTATTTGTTGCACAAAAGAGAATACTCCAAGTGATGTTTAGTCTATCCTCTCGACAAAGCTGTGTTGATGTATTCAAAACATGTAAAATCATGACGCTACCATCACTTTTTATCTTTGAAGTTTGTGTGTATATATTTAGTAACTATAACAATTTTTCAACCAGATTTAGCATTCATATGAAATATGAATCATTATGAAATAAATTACATTTACAAAATAGAGTTTAAATCAACAGGGCCCATTTGGGTATATGTTGATATACGATTACCATGGATTTCTCTCTCCTCTCAGGAATTCGACTGAACTGCCGTATCCTCTTCTTCTCAACGTATAGAGCGAGGATTTGAGTATTGTAGGGCGCTACCACGATTACAGTCGAATCAAATAAAAGTCGAGTTGCGATCCTGAACCACACTCAGTATACAATATAAGATCATATCAAGATGAATTCCGAAAAAATGACCCCTGTATCTGCTAGGATATCACTTGATGATGAAAATAATTAGACGGATGATTAGTCATTGAACGTGGGTGAAATGTCCCCCAACATGAAGGGAATTGTGTAATAGGAAGTTGGGATCATTGGAGACGAGGCGATATTGAAGCCAACGAAGGTGCTGATGTCTCAGAGTTTAAACTAAATTCAAAATTTAATCTCATACAATTTTGGTTCTCATCATTATTTTCAATTCCACGAGAAAATTTGTAATGAGCAAAGTTGTATAAAATTGAATTCACATGCACCATTCTATTACGATAGTTGCACAATTCCTGAACGGCACTCGTTTGGGCAGAATTCGATTTTGGTCGTTTTGCTGGAGGACCTGCATCATCATTCGGCCTGCAAGACTGCATTTGATGACGACGCATGTTATTTTTACCACACCTATCGCAGCGAAACATTTGTAGAGATAGAGAGATATCAAACTGACTCCTGTGAGTGAGCGATCCCTCTTTTTTATATGTTCCTTCAAAAAGTAGGGTGAAGGAGAATATATGAGGACCCTCACATAAGGTCACTCAAAGTCAAACTGAAAACGCACTCCAAAATCCTTTTCGTCCATGCAGCTGAAGGTCGTTCAAAGTTGAATCTTTGAAATAGTGGCGTAGATCAATGAAGGTCGTTCAAGGTCAAACCCAAAATACTACCTCTGACTCACTTTGCGCCATGTGACGTAGGTCAGGGTCGTTCAAGGTCAAACTCAAAACAATCGTTCAAAGTCATCTTGGCTACGTTGGATCGTGTAGGTTCAAAACTGGCTCGAGTTCATTCGAGGTCAAAGTCACCTTGTCGAAAATATAGGGAGTCATTCGAGATTAAAACCAAAACACTACCTCAAAGTCACCTCTTCTACGTCGTGTGACAAACTCAAAACAAATCCTCAAGGTCACCTTCGTTACTTCGTATGACGTATGTAGAGATTATTTCAAGGTTGAAAGTGGTGGGGAGAAGTTCCTAAATTGGTACAAACCAACTTCTACGATCTTATTGTCGTCTACCGGTTTGAAGTATTTCGAGCATTCTCTTCATCTTCTGTGGCAGTTCTCTGAAAACATATTGAACGGCAGTAGACATCCCTCATCTATGGCACCAAATGTGAGGCAATTTATTGCAGCTCATGTCAGTAATCCCAGACATTTATCTTTCCGTTGTTTCGTCTTTCGGATTGATGGGGAGAAGTTCCTAAATTGGTACAAACCAACTTCTACGATCTTATTGTCGTCTACCGGTTTGAAGTATTTCGAGCATTCTCTTCATCTTCTGTGGCAGTTCTCTGAAACATATTGAACGGCAGTAGACATCCCTCATCTATGGAACCGAATATGTGAGGCAATTTATTGCAGCTCACGTCATTAATCCCAGACATTTATCTTTCCGTTGTTTCGTCTTTCGGATTGTCCAACCCTTAAGAGCAGTTTTGGAAGTCTCGTTTATGTTCAATGTTTAGAAATGTTTGATTAATCCATTGGTGCGTTTTTGTTCACATGAAGGAGCTCTGAATTTTAAGTCTGCGTCTTTCTGAAAACTCACCAATTTTTTTCCTTAGTAATCTAACCATTATTTTTGAAGGATACTCGTTACTTACAGCTATCTCCTTGATACATTTTTTCTTCATATCATATCTTTCTGTTTCTCCTGGTAACGTGACCAGTCTATGGACAAGAAAACGTAATTCCGTCATTTCCCCTTGTGGACAATGATGGGAGCTATCAGAAATCTACTGAAAGTACTAGTATTTTTTCTATACAGGAGTGCTTCGTATCTTAAATCATCTAACATTCAGGAATAGTGGCTCTTGACTTTAAATTTGGGAACTCATTTTTGAGACAAGACACGAAATCCTGTTACCCTGCCTATTATTCAAAATGGCAGATACATAATCCACATACTGGATTTGAGTCCATGGAAAATAAATTCCACTTCACTTTCTTTGGACTTGAATCCGATACGTAGATGATATATTTGCCATTTTCCACAGAAATAGGAGTGAGGTAGTTGGAGGCAAGAGTGGGCCGATTCAAACTGAAATCTGGGATCGAACAAAGTATAAATTTTGGAATATGTAAAGAAACGAGCATCAACATGTTGTCGGACCACATATGACACCGAAATATATTTGATATTTCGTACTGGAACCTCTGGCGTGAAATTAATCTATTGAAAACAATTTCCCAACACCAGAACACAAATTACGCTAACTTGGTTAGCGGAACGCGCGTTGAGAGAACGTAATTTTTGTTCTGGTTTTGGAGAAGTGTTTGCAATAGACCGAAATATATGTTTGACATGAACAGTCATCCTGAGAACATGCTCGGCTGAAACACCTAGTCTACAGACGGGTCAAAAACGGAACATTGAACGGGAGCGGCAATTTACTGTACGGGAAGAAATCTCCATTTCATTCACCCACTCGGTCAGTACACATCTGCCTTTCATGATGAAATGTAGTCCATCTTGCAATGTGCAGGAACATCAGTTTGAGACCTCAACAAAATGAGCGGATCAGTATTTTCATGGACAACCAGGCTGCATTTGGGGCAATGACGAACCCAGAAGTGACATCAAGATTAGTCTGAAAATGCCGAGAAGAACTAAGAAAAATGACGAACAGGAATAGATTGACTATATACTGGGTGCTAGAACACTCGGGCATCGCAGGCAACTATAATTATAGATAGAAATTTGGTGGACTTTGAGTATCCTAATAGGTAGTCGTTAATATGTAAATGAATGAATATAAATTATATAATTCGATAGTAAATTAGTTTGTCGAGGAAAAGTGCTGAGTTCTAGTGTTAAATCTTGGAAGCATTCTCCTAAAGTCATCTCAAATCAAGATAATTTGTGTGAATTATAATCGTCTGAATTTGTTTATTTAACGTACTGCTCCAAAACAAGTACTTTCCGAACATCAGAACTGCAATACGCGCGTTGAGATGAGGTGTAGGCACTACTATTTACAAAAACATATTCATTATCATTGAAATTTGATTTTTTTCAGAAACTTCGCAAACGCATCCATCAAGTGAGGTTGATCTGGATTTACAGAGATATTCACTTCTAGATGACAGTAAGAAAGAAAGAAGAAGAAGAAGTACTATAGTTAACGAAAATTTTATACCAGTAATTCTTACAGAAGAAACATCTGCATCTGTTTCTGAATCTGGTATCAAAAACTGGCTTGTGTGAGTAAAGTTAGTAAAAAAACCATCGATCGTGTACTATAGATAAAAAAGTTGTTTGAAAAAGTTATATCATTAGCTAAATCGAAAAACTTGAAAGGTAGAAAAATAATCGATAGAAAGTAGAATACATGAACATATTTGGAAGGTGCAAAAGTTAAAACGAGAGGACTTTTCACGTCTGCTCTATATATCATTATTACTTCACTGTATTGTCGTCTATTCATTACTTCACCTTATTTGGCAGGAGGTTATCATGATTGCTGATGTCGGGGATTTAAAAATGTTCTCAACTAACACCAAGACGGTGTTCAGAAATGTTTTCCCAGCAACAGAAATTTCTGTAAGAGTATATCAAAATTTTGTAGGTTTATGATTGCAGAACAGAATCTATTGAAATTGGCGAATTAACAGATTGAATATCAACTCACAGATTATAGATTCATGAAACTAGTATTTCGTCATTGGAAACATTTCATTGCGCAAACTGATACCACTTGACCTACAACTACCATAGAAAATGGAAAATATTTACAGTTTATAACAATTATGTATCTAATGTTGTAGTTACTATTGATGACCTGTTTTATTTCCAGGAATACCGTAGGGTTGAAATGGTTTTTGTTACCCAAATATATGAATATAGCTGTGGGGTTAGCGGTCACGTGGTCATGTGAAGCATCTTTCAGTTCGTTGCTGAGAGTTAACTTGAATAACTTGAATTATTCTTCATATGATATTGCCAAAATGTCAATGGTTTTCTTCGCTAGCGATCTTCTAGCCAAACTTTGTTTTTCCGTCGTGAGTGGTTTGTGCCTCATAAATAACAGATATTTATTTTTGGTCACGATGCTCTTGTTATCTTTGTCACGAACAGGTAAGCAGTTATGTTTTCAATAAAGTTTTTATAATTCTATGAATTTGAAAAAGTTATTATAGTAGACATCCAAATTAATGTTACTCCCATGTACGAGTATTTTCACAGCTCAATTCGTTAAAAAATATTTTTATCATCGTTCCACCCAAATATCTAAGGAAATTATATGCGTATAGAAAAGCATTTATGCTTTATTTTATATGGATATGTAGTTAGTGCTCTCTTGAGTGAAGAGTGTCACACGTAGCTCTAATAAAAAATCATAATTTCAGTATATTTGTGTACATATATTTCAATTCACAGAAATCATAATAATGATGCAACAATTCAGTTGAAAAACCTAACAATTGCGAATATACAAAAATTACTAAAGTTATATGAGTGACCAGTCAAAACTGGTAATGAATAAAATAATAGGTTGCAGTTTGTTCGGATGACGGGAAACATCCCTGTGCCGTTTTGAAAAATTTTCCTCAAACTGAAAAATGTTCTCCTACGGATTTTCAATTCACTTTGGACCGAAATAAAGGCATGAAAGAACGCGGTACTTATTCCCATTCTGAAACCCCACAAATTAACACTTCAAAGCGACTCCTATAGAGCAATCTCACTGACGTGTATAATGTACAAGCTGCTAGAAAATGCTATGAATAAAGGACTGATATGGACTCTTGAAGACAGAGAGCAAATATCAGAACAATCAGGTTTTAGACTACTCAGATATACCTAAGAGAACACAATTGATCAGGAAAGCTCCATCCATTGAAAAAATCAACAAAAGTGCATAGCAATCTACTTCGATATCAAGGAAACATTCTAGCGTTTATCCAAAAATTTTTGAGGCAAAGGAAATTTCTGGTCCGAGTAGACGAAATATTATCAATACAGAAGTACCAAGACAAAATGACGACCTGACGACCTAATACCATTTGCTAAAGGTGAGACAAGCACTCTAGCTAGACTTCCACAGAATTGAATCAGTTCTATAGAAATATGATTCAGATATTCTCACCTGAAAAAACTGAATTCATTATATTCCCAAAAAAATATTGCTGAGATATGCCAATCATAGGACTGAATAACTGAAAACTTGTTCTTTGTGGTTCTTCGTGAAGGAAGTAATGTATCTAGGAATGGCATTTGATCAACAATTGAACTGAAAGTCACATATATCAAAAAACTTATTTTATCTTGCCAAAAAGGGCTAAATCCACTCAAGTATTTAGCTTACAAACATTGGAGTTCGGTAGTATCAACCCCACTCCTCTTATACAGATCCTTGGCAAGTTGCAAGATAGAATAAGGTTGTACAGCATATTCTTCTTCCAAATAAAATACGCTGAAACGACTTGATACTATACACAACTTCGCCTTTGGTGTAGCTTTGGGAGCTTATCACACAACTCCAGTGGAGTCAACGTTGAACACAGCAGTCTTTCTTATACAGTTGCAGTAGCCACCACGGAAAATAAACCAATTCATAGGAATACGACAACAAATTGATTTTTAAGAATTCACAACCGACTAAGAACAGATCCCCCATTTCATTAAAGAATTCGACAATATCTTAGCTACAAATGCATAAACTCTCACCTATTTATCTCTCAAACATGACTATCTCACCACCATGGACCATTCAAGTACCAAAGACTTCAAAGAATTATATAAGGATGCCTCCAAATCGAATCAGGGAGTGGGAGCTGCAGTACTGACTGATGAAACATAACTAACTTTCAGATTTCCAGAATCAGCTAAGGTGATGTCAGGCAAACTTGAAATTCTACAAGCGATACGTTATGCAAAAACGGATACTTCACATAAATTTCCCATAATCTCGGATTAGCTCAGCCCTTTGAAAAATCACCGAATTGTCAAACTCATCCAAAAAAAATTATGGAAATGTTGCTTGTATGATGCCTACGTTTATTTACCGAATCTCTGTTATATACATGTTATATATTCCATGTGATCAATATGGTGAATAAACATTATTATTATAAAAGATCGTTTTGATTCAGTTACCATCACACATCAGTATTTCAGGGAGAGTTGACGCAATGGGGAATGTTCCTCCTGACGAAAATCAAGTAGTTTTCATAAAAAAGCTCTAAAACAACGCATTTTAAACTTATCATTTCAACATTTTTTTTTTTAATTTATTTAAATACTTGAAAGGGAGGAATGAAATAATGCATTCAACATTTAAAGGGATTCGTTTCCATTTCATCATTTGGCAATATCGGTTATAGCTAATAAAGGACAATGAATACGTTACCTGTATGAGACAAACAAAAATGACATATTTCAGAGGCGTGCTGTTCTGTTTACTCATGTTCCGAGTTCCGAGACATTCTGTGACATATGACATTTGGGCACCTAACCTATCTTCCTTTGTATGAATAAATAACAAAACAACTGTTGTTTATGTGGCTTGTGGAGGTGGTATTGAAGTATAATTTATATTTTGCCTTAATTGTTGATTCATAAAGATAATTTCACTTTTTCAAAGTAGAATATCTAGGTACATATACATTATTTCAACTTGATATAGACGCTGTTGCCAATATGTGAATTAGAAACAAATCCCTTTATAAATTGAAACACAACATTTGAAACATCAATTTGAATACTTTTCAAAGTGAACTTGCATTTGCTGTAATAACCCAAATTGAGGAACATTCCCCATTGCACAAATAACGATCAGCAACTTACATCAAATATCTACACCTTACACTTTAGCCAAAGCCTCGGTAGATAATAACATTATCCTGAGATGGATTAAAGGGCACGAAAGGAGTAAAGGTAATCGCATTGCCGACTCTTTAGCTAAGGAAGCGGCTGGACTAAGAATTTTAGGACCAAGTGGCACCCACGGCCTGATGACTTCGACAATTGCGGAACTAGTCAAATGTTACACCCATGCTCAATCTTTAAAGAGATGGGATGAAATCAAAGGATGTAATCTTGCCAGGATCACCTTGGGCGACCCTGGGAAGCTGGCGCCGAAGAAATATCTGGCGATGACCAGGAAAAATTTACGCCTTACAGTAGGATTTCTGACTGGCCACTGTCAGCTAAGGAAACACCTACATAATATGGGGCTAGTGGACACACCTCTATGCAGGATGTGTGAACAGGAAGATGAGACTGTCAGGCATGTCCTGTGCGAGTGCCCGGAGTTATCGTCAATAAGAGAGTGTGTGCTCGGCGAGTCTTGGCCTACACCTGCCGATATAAAGGAGATGTCTCCCAGCGACCTGTCCACCTTCCTGGAAAGGACAGGATGGACGACGACCTAGGAGGACAACTCCTTGGGAGGATGTACAATGGGTCACATGTGGCCTAAGTGCGTGGGCTTACACTCACCCTCCCTACTCTACAGATACAGATACACCTTACACTTATTACGCTGACCTGAAGACTTACCTCACAAGCAAGATACTTAGAAGGTGTAATGTCAATTGACAAGGTTTACAGTCGAAATTGAGGGAAATAAAGCCTTATGTTGTCCCTTGGGAGTACGAAAAGTGAATTGATTCACCTGACTAGGCTTGAGGCATACCAGCCTCACACATTAATTTCTTATATCAAAAGCAGATGTACACCAGAGTCATATTACAAAAGTAAACTTATAATGAAACACATTCTCGTGCATGTCGGTTGTATCAATAAAAAAATACCTTCTTTATTACCTGATAAAGTAATTGCAGTGTTAAATTACCACAATGCTACAAAAACCTATGTTATATAAATGCCCTCAATATTACTGCTGAATTATAATATGAATATTGTATTTACCTGATCCGCCGCTTATAACCAGTAGATTGATGCGGTTATTTGTAAATAAAAAAAACTTTTGCGATGTACATACATTACATGTATGTACAATATCCGAATTTACTGAAAATGTCACTCTAGTGAATTTAAGAATCTTTTCTTTTCATTTAATCGTTTCTGTCAACTTGTTTTCTGCTATTCAAAGCTTCCGAAACCAGAAGAATTATATTTTCTAAGATTTCAGGAGTGACTGAAGCTGTTGCATAATACGCCCTCTCCTCAACATATCCTTTTGAAAAAATCAAACACAGTGAGATCCTGTAAGCGGACAGACTACTGTACTGGGCCATCGGCAGCAATAACTTGATTATTAAAATATTTTATCGAGTAATTGTGAACTTCTCTGGTATTCTGAGGCGTTGTCCCGTCTTGCTGATAGTAAATTCATTGTGAAAATGCTGAAGGTAGATTATTACGATGATCGTCTACTCCATTTTGAAGAAAACTTAAGTACCTAAACCCTATTTCATCAGTTCGGACTTCCATTGTCTAATATAATATAAATTGATTTGATATCCCTGAAAAAAAAAATAAAAAGTTTAACCGAAAATAACAATTTTATCAAACAAAAAACTGAAATTACAAAGAAATAACATACAAACAACAATCAAAAAAAATATTAATAAAAGCTGAAAAATTAAAAATAAAAATATTATTAACAAAAAATGAAAAATTAAAATATTCCAAACCAAGTTACGTCACGACGTTTCGATTGTTAGTATCCACAATCGTCTTCGGGTTTTAGCGGGAGATGACCGTTTGGCGGGAGTGGTCGTTTTTCGCTTGATTAGAGGTTTCCATATGTTACGTATCTCTACGCTAGCTTGACTAAACGCGTTGTTGGACAACATATACGCGGCTTCTTTGAATTTTCTCCTAAACCAATATTCCTCTTTGTGAATGATTTCAGCTTGAGCCCACTTGATGTTATGTTGATGAGTTCAAGCATGCTCTGCTATTCCGGATTTGCTGGTTTCTTCTCACTGAGTGTGTTTCTTGTGCTCAGCAATGCGAATTTTCAATGGCCTCTTAGTTTCAGCGATGTATGATTCTCCGCACTCACAGAGTATCCGGTAAATGCAATTCTTGAAATCGCAGTCCGCGTTTGGAGGCCTGGTTTTTGTGAGGCTGCTACGGATAGTGTTCCCAGATCTGAAGCAGGTCCTGATGTTATACTTGGACCCAATCCTTCTTATCCTTTCCGATAATCCTCTGATGTAGGGAAGTACAAGTACTGGTTGTGGCGGCTTCTCTTCCTTGTGGAGCCCTTGCTGTCTTCTAGCTAAAGCCTGTTCTACCATCACTCTGGAGTAACCATTCCGTTGAAGGTCATTTTTGATGATGTCTAGTTCCTTTTCGAGACCTTCCTTTATATTACAGACCCCAAAAACACGGTCTAGTAGAGTCTTGATGATTCCGCTTAGTCGATTGATGGTAGTTGAATTTCTGGTTCAGATACTGCCCTGTGTGAATGGGTTTTCGATAAACAGATGTTTCATATATAGTGTGGGAAACCATATACCATATAACTGAACCAAATTTCATTTTGAAACACCTATTATTTCAGAAGTTATGACTTGTCTGAAAGATTCTTCCAGACCCGGCATACAATGTATCTTGCATGACATGAATTATATCCCTATAGAAATATATTTTTATTTGATCAAGTTTTTATTTTTAGCGTTCACTTTTCGCGATGGATATGTGTGGAGAACTATTACCCTTACTCTGGTGGGACTATTGAATGGTTTGATGAATACTAGTTTGGTGCTCGTTATTTCTCAACAGTATAAAGAAAACTTTGCAACGCCATTTTGTCTGTACAAATTGCTGACAGGAATGATTTACTTGATAACCGGAGGGGTAGCAAGTAAGTGTATGTGATTGAAAAACATGAACATTATCAGACTAGACAGAAAAAACATTTTTCACGAAAAATTAATTGAAGGCGAATTCATGGTACGAGGGATGAAATGGGGTAAATTTCAGGGATTCAAAATGGTTTTTCATTATTTCCACAGAAACCAGACCTACTGAAATGTGTTGAATACAAAAGTTGTGAAAAATCAAGATCTACCACTTTTGTATGAACCAATTTTTCCATATAACCTGAAATTTTACGATAAAAATTGTAAAAACCTTTGTTGTTGTTCTTAAATTCATTCTTCTACAGAAATAATTTGTTTTTGTACAACTGTCAAAAAAATTTGACAAGTCTGCATCTCTATTGATAAGTAAATGTTTTTTTTCACCGTAAGGAAAAGACTTTTTTCTCTGCCATGAAATATTACTTTTTGAAGGATTTTTTTGAACAGAGTCAGTTGCCAATTAGTTATTCATCATAAAACAATTTCATTTATTGAAATAATAATTGATAGTGAAGTTTGAACAATAGCTTCCAACATAAATTCCTCGAAGATATTCCATGTTGCTGCTGATCAGAAACGTTAGATATTTCTTAAAGAGTTGATTCCACAATTTTATCAGGTACATATTTTAATTTGTTTGGAAGAAGATGGACAATTCAATATTGTATTAGAAATCTCAATTTTGTTATTCAAAGTATCTTCTGTAGTATGCTTCTGCTACGGAGGCAAATTTCCAGCCACCGTGACGTTTTATGAATGTAATGTTGCCCTCTGCATCGGCCAGAAGAGTTACAGAGCTTCTCCTGAAACAGTGACCTGTGTAGCACTTATACTTGTCTTCTCCAAGCCATTTTGCAATCAAGCTGGGAATTTCACCTATTTTATTTAAACTCTAATATTGGTTAATACACTTTCCTCTCGAATATTTCAAAAATAATCTGTTAATCTGTTAATAGTAGAGGTAAATTTCAATATAACCAGAATTTGAAACAGTAAACATTCTTGCGCAATATGTCTTAGTACCAGGTATTTTAACAATCAATATAGATCCAGCATATTCAATGACATCAATATTTATATGTAATAATTCTTCACGGCGACAAGCACTGCTAATACCCAAAATTAGAAAAATCTACAAATAAATAATATTGAAATTACTACTAATCTTTCAAAATTATGATTATATCTGTACCTAATAAAGTAAATTTGTTTTGTTTTCGGCATCTTGAATACATTTATTGATATCATCCCTTGATAAAAATTTTGATTTCTTTTCTCGGTATCCGAAGATTTTGTTCTTAATGAGCCGGACCAATTTTTAAAAACTTCCTTATATCAATATTTTCCTAACATTCAATGTACTTTTCAACATTGAATAGACACTCCATAACGTAGTAAATTCAATAATTTTTTATTTTTCCTCAAAATAGCATATAAGCACATTTTCAGAAACTGTTTTTACATGTTTCTTGTCGCACGAAATTAGTCGTATGTTTTCTCATACGAGTATACTAACTTGGATTTGGCCTGTAACATATTAAATACTATAGCATTTGCTTCTCAGATATATCTAATGGGGTATCACTACCATTATTATATATAATCAATATCCATCTTCTTGAAAATAACTTGAAATTGAAGCAACCACGAGCAAACACTGCCAAATACGCGGCGTGCCAACAAACCGATTATAGTACCGAAACAGAAATACCATTGGATGCTGTGAAATTGTGTTGGAAGTATTATTGATAACATTAGGAATAAAATATATGCAAAAAGAAAAGTATTATTCAGTTATTTTGGACTTATTTTTTTCAGACAGAAAAAATGTTTGAATGCGATTTTACTGAAAACTTCGAATAATATTTTCAAGACAACAGTCGTTTGAAAGCGGTAACTTTTTGGGACAAAAACCACGTCAAGATGTATTGGAAGTATTTATTTTCAATATATTTCAGACGATGTAAGTTCACATCGGTCGGTAGCCAGGCGGTTTGACGTGGGTGCTTCGTTCACTCACTCGAATTGACTGCCGTGTTGGTCGGTGGTTCAAGTCCCAGTCTGAACAATCGATTTTCACTTGCTATCGTCCAACCCGTGTTAGGAATCACACGTTAAAAGGTAAGACCTCGTTAATCCTTAGCTCACACACTTGACCTGCGGTCGAGGCCAAAAATGTCAAAAATTAAGTGGACAAGATAGAGAAATCTGGAGTTTATAAGCTTCAGTGTCCGAATTTTGAAAAAAATCTTGTTTCCAGAAAAAAGGGATTTCAGACTGAAAATTACTTTTTTTCATATTTTACATCGAAATAATATGTTATAGGTACTGCATATTTCCATTTGAAAAAAAATATAGCATGGGAACATAAAAAAATGTTTATAAATATTCTTAAAAACCAATTTTTGTTTGCAGAAGAAAACAATCGAAAATGAAAACGGATTTTTCCATTTTTTTATGTTCAGGTTACGTTGAAAAATAGTCCTGTAAAAGTTATAGATTTTCATACCTAACTAATGTATTTACTTCATTCCGAAAGAAGGTTCGGTTTAGGTGTAAATCACCCAATTTCATCCCTCAACTTATTTTTTCTATTTTTGAGCTCTTATTTTTTCCCCTTGCATTAATCTATAATATATACTTTCTTTTCCAGGTTACGTGAAAATTCTAACTCAGAACGATAAAACAGTTATATATGTACTGTCACTAATCAATATCGTATGTTTTTTCTCGTGGTTATTGGAACTACTTCACGACTGGAAAAATAACGCGCAGTTGAGAAAAAATTCAGTGAAATCGTCAGAATAATTGAATGTTGGTCCAGTCCAGTTTTCATTTTGAACTAAATGTCTACAAGCTAACTCAGAGAAAAATTATTCCAAAATTTAAATGAAAGTGAGCCATAAATTGATTCAAACATCGTATTTCATAACATGAAATGCTAAAAAACGTTTTCAATATTGCTCCTACCAACGTTACAAGCTTCCTGAATCATAAGTGTTTCATAAAACTGCCACTTTAATATAAAAATAGAGATGTTATTATATGTTAATGATAATTTATTTTAAATAAACGTAGAATCACCTTCTTAAAACTTTCAATTGGTGTATAAAATGAAGAGACTAAATCTCAATACAAAGGTGAGTTTTGAGTCTGCTATACAAAGTTTCAATCACAACTTGTAGTTAGCATTTTTGTAGTGTAGCCCAGACACGTTTTTTAAAGGACACAACACAAGCACTACATCCATAAGGCGCTTTGAAACTGGTGCCTGTGCGAAAGTAGTGATTCACATTGGATATGAAACGCTGGAGATCAAATCCATTTGGAAAAACGTTCTCAGGAAGTTTATTCCACGTAACCGCAGTTCTCCAAATGAAAGAGTTCTTGAAAAATGAAGTTCGAGGTGTACTGAGTTGAACAGCTTCAAAACAATGAGCACCCACAGTCCGTCACGAATTTCTGATATGTGCCGCTCTCGATGGAATCAAATGTGCCAACCTTTCGTCGATGTTCCAGGCTATCAAGTCTGCACGTGATGTCGCGTCTCCAATCAAGCGGATGGCTCTTTTCTGGATGGAATCCAGCAGCTCCATACATGAGAACAATACTCCATAGAAGATCACATCTGAGCTTTTAAAATATCAAAATTTGCTTAGGTTTGTACAGTTTTCTGGTTCAGAACAGTGTTCCAAACTTTTGAGAAGCAGCCTTCGCAATTCCAGCGACATAATTATGCCAAGACATATTGGTGGCCATTTAAACCTCCAACAAACTTATCGAAACATAGAATTTTCTGACCTGACATTATTATATTCGGTTCGAAGACATTTATCTTTTTGGGGAGAACGGATGCCTGGGTTTATGTGGCATTGAATTGAAACTGGTTATACTTTCATCCCAATTCGAAATTACTTCTAGATCCCCATTAAGATATGCAACCTCCTTCTGCCGGTGAAGATGTGCATCCGCCGACGATGTCGTGAAATCCAAATGGAATGAAAAAATTGTGTTATCGTCAGCATAGCAATATATTGTATTCTTGGTTTTGATAACAATATACAATAGAAAGATGGTTGAAAACAATATAGATCCGTGGAGAACACCAGCGTTGATGATAAAAGTATTCGAGATATATCCGTCGACGGCTACTTGCAGCGAACCTTCTTTCAGGAAGCTGAAGAGCCATATACAAAAATGATCCGACAAGACATTTCATCTAAGTTTGGCCAGCAAACTCTCATGTGACACTCGGTCAAAGGCCTTAGAAATATCAAGCGCTACAGCTCTTGACTCTTCATGTTTCTCGATTGCGTTAAGATGTCGTCAAGATGTTGAAGCTTTCCAAATATTCAAGGATATGGTCGCTTACGGCTTCCTCCATGATTTTTGATATCACTGATAGCAAAGCGTCTGGTCTATAGTTATTTGGAAGATTTTTCTCGCCCTTTTTGGGAATAGGCTGAACGCGAGCAATCTTCCAACAAGAAGGAAAAACCCATTTAAATCAACAGGTAGTGCCAGGGCCCATTTGGGTATATGTCGATATACGATTACAATGGATTTCTCTTCTCCTGACCTGCTCCTCTCAGGAATTCGACTGAACTGCCGTATCCTCTTCTTCTAAACGTATAGAGCGAGGATTTGAGTATTGTGGGGTGCTACCACGATTACAGTCGAATCAAATAAAAGTCGAGTTGCGATCCTGAACCACACTCAGTATACAGTATAAGATCATAACAAGATGAATTCCGAAAAAATTACCCCTGTATCAGCTAGGATATCACTTGATGATGAAAATAATTAGACGGATGATGAGTCATTGAACGTGGGTGAAATGGTCCCCCAACATGAAGGGAATTGTGGAATAGGAAGTTGGGATCATTGGAGACGAGGCGATATTAAAGCCAACGAAGGTGCTGATGTCTCAGAGTTCAAACTAAATTCAAAATTTAATCTCATACAATTTTGGTTCCCATCATTATTTTCAATTCCACGAGAAAATTTGTAATGAACAAAGTTGTATAAAATTGAATTCACAGGCACCATTCTATTACAATAGTTGCACAATTCCTGAAAGGCACTTTTTTGGGCAGAATTCGATCTTGGACGTTCTGCTGGAGGACCTGCATCATCATCCGGCCTGCAAGACTGCAGGCCGGATCGTGTAGGTTCAAAACTGGCTTGAGTTCATTCGAGGTCAAAGTCACCTTGTCGAAAATATGGGGAGTCATTCGAAATTAAAACCAAAACACTACCTCAAAGTCACCTCTTCTACGTCGTGTGACATAGGTCAAGGTCAAACTCGAAAGAAATCCTCAAGGTCATCTTTGTTACTTCGTATGTCGTAGGTACAGATTATTTCAAGGTTGAAAGTGATGGGGAGAAGTTCCTAAATTGGTACAAACCAACTTCTACGATCTTATTGTCGTCTACCGGTTTGAAGTATTTCGAGCATTCTCTTCATCTTCTGTAGTAGGTAGATTTTTAAACTAATTAAACTTTCAGTTCTTGGATAGTAGGTGAATTTTTGGAAATGACTAAACTTATTTCTATGATGAAAAAAGGTTCAATGTTTAGTGTTCGACCCCCTGTTGGTCATTCAGCAAGGAACCCGAACGTTTCTCCTTATTTATTTCCAGAGACTCCAACAGGTTCAACTTCTGTCCCTTAACTTCTACAAGCAACACTCGCTCAAATTCACGGAACCCTGCTAAACTGCAATCGCAAGGTTGTAAGGGTAGCGGTAGGTCTATTTACGGGGCATTGTCGGCTCAAATGACACATGAGCATTTTGGGCTTGGTGGAAGGAATACCTTGCAGGTTCTGACAGTAGGAAGAAGAAACCGCACTACACGTGCTATGACATGTTTCAGCCTTGCTGACACTTCGCATTAAGAATTGAGAAACCAGAGGCTATAAGCTTTATGAAGGAGCCAATTCCAAAGCTTTGGAATTTCATTGAAGAGATCAAGCTAAATAAAGAGCTCTGATAACCAAGAAACATCATAATAGCTCCAAAGGTCGCAGTGAAACAGACCGCATGCCAGCTCCCCTATCAATCTAATCCAATCTGAATTATATATACACAGATAGTGAAAGAATAGATAATGCACCCACCACACAGAGAATGCCCAAGGAAACCTGTTATATCGAACTCAAAGCATCTTGTGAAAAGGCTGATTATCAAATAGTCCGGGCACTATTAATAATGGCCGGTCTGTATTCATAATGCCCGACTCAATT